GCCACAATACAGAGTGAAGGTCCATCAGTCTTGTAGATGCTGTTGGGATGTTGACCTGGATTTCTGTGTTGCTCTTCCTCATTTCCTGGTTCCTTACCCTCAGATTTTTTCCCATATGTTAGAACACCCTCCTACTTGTTGGGCTTTTGGTGACTAGAGTACTGGGGATTATTTTACCCTTGGACACCATGTTTGTCATTAGAGCTGTTCACAAATATTCAAGTTCTCTTTTTAGTAACATGGTAGGATTACATTTCCTACTCTCTTAAAGTTACGTTTGGCCATGTGACTTCGTTGGCCAATAAAATGTGAGTGGAAGTGAAGCATGCTGCTTCTGGGTGGAAGCTTTTTAATGGCTAGAGCAAGACACTGCAACACTAGCAATTATATTTTATGATCCCTACAAAGGCAATCTTGAAAGCATGTGTCTCAGTGAAGCATCCGCCAATGGGGGGACCACAGTAACTATAATGTACAGAGTCCATGCAATGGATGTTGTGCTGATCTCCCAAGACCCACCCTTTATGTCTGAAGCATTCTTTCTCCTGACTGTTCCAAATGTTGGTGGCTAACAGCTCTCAGCTGGGTCTCTGTCTTTGGGGGTTGCTCTTGGCTAAAGAGAGCCATTTTGCCCAAGGTCACATACAGTCCACATCTGATTCACAGTTGATGTGAAGGTATAAGAATCTGGCCCCCTGCCTCAATTTAGGACAATGTTGAAGGACCAACCCAGCTTCAGAACTCCCTGCAGGATTGGCTGAAGCCTTAGTTGCAACTCCTCCCTCTGCCCAATCCTGCATCTCTCAGTCCCCACAGAAGTTGTTCTTCACATCATTACCTAATAACCTCCTGCATACAATTTTCAGAGTTTCAACATTTCTTTCCTGGTGAACTCCACTCATGATAGGCTCCCTTATGACTCTCATGAAACATGTAACATGTAGGAGAGACAAATGATTGTTGCAATAAGCTGCTGAGATTTGGGGGATGTTACTACAATCTAGCTCATCTTGATTAATACAGATGCCAAACCTCACCTGTCCTACCAATCCTTTGTTGTCACCTGAGCTTGACTTATATTGTCTTGTATAGTAGACAGGTTCCTTGCCAAATACTAATTCTTCTTTGATGTTTTTTCTCATTGTGAGTGAATAGCCATGTCACAACTGAGATATTACAAGGATGAACAGGAAAGGGAGGTGGGTTGCTTGAGTATCTCATTTTCTACTAATTATTCCTACCAAGTCAGTGGCATATATTTTTTATGTGCATTTCCTAAGACCTTTCCCCTTTTCTATATAATTTATCACACATTTATAACATGATAGTAGTCTTCCCTTATCTGTAGGGGATATGTTCTAAAATCTCCAGTGAATGCCTGAAACCATGGATAATGTTTCTGTTATGTCTTCCACTACAAATGTAATGCTTTTTCCATCTTAACTAAGCTCTTATCATGTACTGTTTCTGTCACTTTTGCAGCTTGAGGTGTGACAGCAGAACTAGCACAAATTTCTTTTTCCTTCTTCACAATTTCAAGGATAGATTTGTTCTTACCAGAGATTTTAGCAACCCCAGCATATGATTTTTTTCCTTCCTTATTAAGTCAAAAACTCTCACCTTTTCATTTAAAGGAAGCACTTTATGGCTTTTCTTTGGCATATCTAAATTTCCAGTATCAATACTCTTGCTTTTGGGGTCATTATTAAGTAAAATAAGGATTACTTGAACACAAGGACTGTGATTCTGTGACAGTCCAGCTGATAACAGAGACAGCTACTAAGTGACTATAGAGTGTAATAGCGTGGATACACTGGACAAAGGGATGATTCACATCCAGGCAGGATAGAGTAGGACAGCAGAGATTGCAGCATGCTACTCAGAATGGCGCACAATTTAAAACTTATGAATTGTTTATATCTGGAATTTTTCATTTAATATTTTGAGACCTTGTTTGGCCTCAAGTAACTCATACCTCAGATGAGGAGAGACTACTGTATAAGGGTACTTAATGTTTCTTAGACAAAATCTTGAGCAAATAAAAATTGCATAATTATGTACTTGATCTCAATTTGAGAAAGAAAAACAAAACAGTATACTACCAATTAATAAACTTTCTGCACCTCTTATATACTAAAATTCTATTTCTCTGGTGCTCTGCCACATCACATTTCTTGAAAGACAAATGGTAAAACAGTACCGGTTTCTCATTATAAGCCTTTCAGGCAAAACAAAATATAGTAATAAAGCTAATGAATCAAAGCATATGCTCCTCTTTTTAAGGGACTTTACTATATAGAAAAATGTTTTCTCTGCCTGAAGGATAAATACTATAAAAATATTTCAACTAAAAGGAGTTTTAGAATCCTGGGTTGGTATTACCACAACCCCTAATTATAGAAGATGTTTATTTAGTATGATGAAAGAAACTAGTTTAAGGAATGTGGAGATTTATTTACATCAAGTTCAGATAAAGAGATAAAAAGGGACTTGCATAAGCAAGCAAAGAGTATGACTTCAGGAGTGTATTTGTGAGTATATCTTTGGCACTGCCATTAGCCACAATGAAAGACCAGCAAAACAGGCCTTCAGAAAACCACTTCTGCCTACGGAAGAAGGGAAGGCTAGACTTCACCTCTTAAGATCGCCCTCCCACGCAAATTTTCCACCTCGCAGCTAAGAATTAAATCCAGACTTCCGATCATGGCGCCACGCACGTCACCTTCTCCCCTCTCCCCCGGCCAAATCCCACCCAAATCGGCAAATCGCGCAGGAGAGTGTACGGGAGGCAGGGAGGCTGGAGAAACCCCTGCCCCATCCTGGTTTCTTGGGTAAAAACCAGATTTGCAAATCGAAAAATCAGTCTAAACAGAAAACTGTGGTAACAACAGGACCTTCTCAATTCCTTGGGAGCGAAGACTTGATGGCACTTTCCCCTAAGGTAACAACTCTCTACGTCAGTTTTCCTTTTACATGCCCTAAAAAGTCCCCAAAGCCCCCAGCCTTTTTGAATAAAGGCCCTCGGAGAAGAGGAAACCGCGCTGCATAGACATACGTGCACACACAGCAGGGCGGTTTGCAGAATTTTTTTCCCTGGCTTCCCATCCTAGCAAATGTTCAAAATTCCTGTCAGCTAAGAAGGGCTGTGGGAATGGGTGCTTGAGGAAAGCAGGACGTCGATTAGAGCAAACACATTAATTGGTCTTTCCAATTCCAGCTTTTGTTTGAGTCGGTGAGAAAGCCTGAGGAGGCCAAAGTCTTCGGTCCTGGGAAAGGCGGGTCCATCCGGATTCTTCGGGCTACAGAGAGGGAGGCTCCCGCCCCAAGAAACAACTGGGGGGGGGCAGTAAATTCTGCCCCTCAAGGCTTTCCTCCAAGAGTCTCGAGGAATCACGGAGCTCGGAAGAGTATGCCGAACACTGGACAAAAGATGTGGCCGCCCTCTCGCACGCGCGCGCGCGCACACACACACACACACACACACACTGCCACACACACCTGAAGCCATCCACATATGGAAGGCGTGTGTGTGTGGGTGGGTAGAGAAAGGCCATTGCTGTCTGCAGCGGATGACCAGCCCCACCCAGCCCTCGGCGGCTCAAGGGAGAGACACGCCACGCGAGGGCCTCCGAGTCCCCAGCCAGCCCGGGAGCTAGGGGCAGGAACGGGCGGGGCCGGGAGCGCGCAGGCGCAGTGCGGGCTTCGTCTCGCCGCCGCCTCCCGCGCTGCACCACAGGCCGGAGGCAGACAGGGCCGGGAAGAGCCGGAGACTGAGGAGGAGGAGGTGGAGGAGGCGGCGGCGGAGGCGGGGCGACTCCGGTGACCGGGAGCGCCGCAGACTGGCAGCTGCGGCGACTCCCCCCTTTGTGTCTGGTCTGCTCGGAGCCACTAGAAGTGCTTCTCGGAGGGGCTCAGGGTGTCTCGCTGCCCCGCTGCCCACCCCCCTCCCGGGCCACCTACATCCGCCCTCCCGCCGCCCCCCGCCCTCGGCCCGCGACGCCCGAGCTCCGCCCGGAGCCCAGAGCTGCGGGAGAACGAGGCGGCGGCGGCGGAGGCGGCGGCGGCTTCTTCGGGGGGGTTGTGGTTCTCTCACTGGAGCCATTGACGGGAGAAGACGAGACGTCTCGTTCATGGTGGAATTTACCTCAGGCAAGATCGAGCGGCAGGAATAAAAGGGCGAGAAAGAGAAAGGAGAGCACCGGGAGGGCTGGAAGCGGCAGCCCTCCGCACCCCCTCTCCGCCCGCTGTCTCGGGGAGCTCCGGGCCCTGCCTGCCGACCCCTCCCCCGCTTCCCACCGCCCCGCAGCCCTCCGCCGGGTCTGCTAGACCCTCGCGCGATTGTTCCGCGAAAGCGTGGAGGCTATGGGCTTGTCCATGGAGGCAGGCACCTTTTTCGATCCAGTCGAGGAAGAGGATTTGTTCTTGAAATCGGAGTGAAGGAAGCACCGAAGCGAAACTTCAGGAATCCTGCCTTCCCGGAGCCGTGGGCGATGCGACTCGGGCCGCCGGGCGTCGCCGCCGCCCGCCCGGCTTCGCCCTTCCCGGCAGTGGGGAACTAGTTCTGATCCTCGCCTTCCCCTCCTCCCGACCCCATCGAATCCCCGCCCTCTGCCCCTCTACACTCTGGATATGTTTTCTCCCAGACCTGGATATTTTTTTGATATTGTGAAACTACGAGGGAAATAACTTGGGGGATTTCTTCTTGGCTCCCTACTTCTCCCTACGGACATGCGTTCAGTTTGGTGGAACGAGGCACCCCGTCCTAGGCGAATGAACCCCTCCAGACTCGAGGGAGAGAAATGAAGGGAATTTCTGCAGTGGAATATAAGCTCTGCAGCTAGGTCCTCTCATCTGCCATTTGTCCTTTCAAACTGCATTGTAATACGGGCAGGATAAGTCAACGAGAGAGAAGCCTCCTGGCCGTGTTTCTCCGCCTGTATCTACTTTCCATATTTCTTTCTTTTCTTTCTTCTTTTTTTTTTTTTTTTTTGCCTTGCTGTTTCTTGGCTGGCTCAGGGATGACTTCCTCGCTGCAGCGGCCCTGGCGGCTGCCCTGGCTACTGTGGACCATCCTGCTGGTCAGCACTGCGGCCGGTGAGTAGCCCGGGGTGGCGCGTCCCGGCCACTTCCCCTGCGGGTGGCGTGGGAGGGAGCACGCAGAAGCCGAGGCCTGTGCTCGCCCTTCGCGACGCGTCCCCTTGGATCACTGGAGGGGAGCCGGAGCCGCCACCGGGTGCCTGCGCGCCTTTCCCACTCCTTCCAAGGAAATCACCTTTAATGTTTTTGTGTAGTTTCCTATCCCCACTCCCATAGTCACCACCCCAACCCCCTCTACGGGAAAAAAAGACATATTGGGTGTGGTATCTTGACATTTTTAGCTGTGAGGTAATGCAAGGATTAAAAATAATATTTTAATCACCAGTGAACAGTGTCTATTATAAGATCTTTGGAAACAGAGCTGTAGATTTTGTTTTAATATAAAGAAGTGGATTTGGCTTATAGTAAAAAGAACATCAACTAGAGAACACACACTCGAACCTTATTTTTAGATTTAGATCACTCTTTGGGAATCCATGTTATTTTCATTATTCAAAAGTGTTACCGAATGAATAGAATAAATGTTGAGGAAGCTAGAATTGTATTGATACCTTGTATAATACTGTTTATCTGTCTTATCTACTTATTATCATTGGTATTACTTTATTCCCAAGTACTTCAGTAATTATGTCTCCATCTTTTCAACCTGAACATTAGTATTTCGTATGCTTTTGAAATTACAGTACAGCTTCTGATGGGTATAGAAGTCTTTTGACAACTTTACTATTAGTTGTCTGGCATCTATTGGCTTTTCTGTCATTGAGACAACTTTGACCTGACATCAGACTTCTAGGAGATTTGACTCCTGAAAGTTCTTTGACATTTTATTAAGGCCTAAAGGGAAATGATAGTCATCCTTTCCTTTGGATATTTTCTTTTTAGTTCTAAGACACCTTAGAAAAAAACCTCACATTACATTTGCAGTTATTTCTTCAAGCAGCCTTTGGTGATTTGTGTTTAGAAATTTCCAGGAGTGAATTGTACATATAATTCTTAAATTTGGTTTAGAATGGCAAATGGATTATGTTTTTAAAAAACGAGTAAAGAACAAAATGATACTTTCCAATTACTTTTTTTGTTTTTATAAGTGTTTAATTTTCACATTCAATAAATTTCTCCTTGTTATGTTAGACACAAAGTTATTATTTCCATTTAAAAGTTTGCCCAGAGAAATTATTGAAAGAAAATTTGAAGTTTCTTTTTGTGCTTTTGGTATTGTGGATTAGTGCCTATTATTATTTTTCTTTTTTTAAAATTTTTCTCAGTGTGAATTTCCAAGTCAAGTGCCTATTATTTATGATAAATCTATATAGTTGTGTTAAAATAATTTGAACTTCTGAATTTATTTTGAAACTAATATCTTAATCATTGCAGTTCCTTTCAGAGTAAAAATGTGTGATTTTTCTCTAAATTTCTTTATATTGTGTTAGCTATTTAAATTCTCTAGCTGTGAGCCATGTGGTTCCTGTAAAATATGAAGAGAGTAAAAGGCCTTAAGCTTAACCAGTTATCACATCAGCAGAAATCTCAGAACATAGATTTTTCAGTGTTTGTTGTTATTCTTGATCTTTTTAGAATGTAGAGGCTTTTTTATAATGACATGCTCATAATTTTGTGATCAAAACTGATAAAAGTAAGCAAAAAAACATACTGACTTAAAAATAAACTTAATTTCTGTTTGGTAAATAAAATATTCTTAGAATAATGTTCCTTAAAAGGGATGCATTAAAAGAATCACTGCTTCCAGGTGGTTTTAGTCTTTTTTTCCTGTAATATTATATAGCAACAGATGACAAAATTTGTGAAGCTGGATTTCAGAGGTGTAACAGTAATATTAGCTAGTGTTTATTGAGCCCTTTTGTGCATCAGCAACTATTCAAATAGCTTTACATAAATTTTCTCATTTGATTCTCTTGACAATTATGTAGGTTATTATTATTCCCCTTTTACAGAGATGGAGAATAAAGTACAGAGAATTTGAATAATTTACCATATAGTCAGTAAATTATGGAGCCAGGATTATAGTCTACACCCTTACCTACCACATTAATGGTAACAACAACAGCAGCAGCAACAACTTCTCCTCACTCTAATTGGGTACATGAGATAGATCAATGCCTTCACCAGATCAACCTTTGAAAAGAAGCAGGGACACTTACAGGATATGAGTACAACATTGGTCCTGCAAATGTCATGGTTCTGAATGTGTGAAACTTTGCCTAATATTGGAATGTCTAGTGCAGCTTCATTAAGTGCAGGGTGACTAGAGACCCGCCTGTGTGGATTTGGGATACATAGATGCAGTGATGTAACTGGACAGGTGCAAATAGTGCAGCTGAACAGGAAAAAAATGCCAGAAGACTAATTGATAGCACATCCCTCTTTGGGATCGTGAATAAATCATTTCTTCTGAATCCCTCTTTCCACTTACCCTACATAGTTCTTGGACTTCTTAATTCTAAGAACTGTTGGTTTGCAAAAAAATAGAAATTATGAAAAGAAGATGTGCTTGTTTGGTTTATACATGAATTCTTAATTTTAATAGACTACAGCACAGGTATTATTTAAAGGTCATGCTTCATATGTATTTGAAATAATTCAAATAGATAGATTGACTAGATTGCAATTTTACATCTCTTTAGGAACACCCACATTGTCTAAAGTGAGATTAATCTCGTGTTAGTTAAGTGTTCTTGAGCAGTTAGTGAATACTATTGAGTAACTAGAAATTTAGTAATCTTCACTTTAGTGTTTCTCAAAGTGTGGGTACTGCAACAGAATTACCTGGGGTTCTTAATGAAATGCATATTTTTGGCCCTATAGCCTAGATGTATTGAATGGATCTCTTTGGGACCTATATATATATCTATTTTTAAATTTAAAACCCCAAAGAGTCTCACTCAGGCAGGTTTGAGGACCGCTGCTTTATATCATCAGTCCTGATTGTTTGAATTTATTAAATATGGTGATTCAGTGACCTTTTGCTGCATAATAATTGGCAACCACAAAATCTTAGTGGCATGCAACAATATGCATTTATTCTGCGCTTTGTGTCTCCTGGGGCCCAGGCTGGAGGGAGGGGTAACATCTATCTCGAGGAAGCTTATGTCATGGCCTTGGCAGAAACACAAGAGGGCAAGCCCAACCCACGAGCACATTTTCAGACTTTGCTGCAAGTCATATGGCCAAGCCTAAAGACAAGAGGTATCAAAGTACACTTTGGCTATGAGACTAATGTAATGTATGGATGTGTAGTACTATTGCAAAAGAATGAAGAATTGAAACCCTGAATCTACCATATATAATCAGGAAGATGCTCCAGAAGCGGGCTTCTCTTACCATTTGAGTGGGGCGAAGCTCTTAATGAGGCCTTTGCATTAAAATTATACAAACCTTAGGCTCTGCAAAGGCTATCCTGGCACATGGGATGGTGTGGTGGTAGTGGTATTGGTCTTGACCAGTATATGAAATGAGGGTAGAGAGATGTTTATTCCACAGAGACATCTTTCTTTCATTAAAGGCCAGCTTTTTTAACAGTGAAAGAGAAGAAATTGAATATTGATCTCTGATGGATTAATTCTAACTATAAAAAGTACTGAGTGAAGTCAGTAAATCGGCTAATTTTGTAATTGGCCATACCACTTATTTTGGCACCTAGTCATATATTACCTGCTGTTGAATATCAGTTTTTTTGTACTTTGTCCTCTCAACTCATAATTGCTTCCAGAGGATAGTGTTCATATCTTAAATTTTTTTGTAATCTACCATATTGCTAAATACATAGATGTTTAAGAAGTACTTTTTTTTTTTTTTTTTTTTTTTGAGACAGAGTCTCGCTTTGTTGCCCAGGCTAGAGTGAGTGCCGTGGCGTCAGCCTAGCTCACAGCAACCTCAAACTCCTGGGCTCGAGTGATCCTGCTGCCTCAGCCTCCTGGGTAGCTGGGACTACAGGCATGCGCCACCATGCCCGGCTAATTTTTTTTTTTTATATATATATATCAGTTGGCCAATTAATTTCTTTCTATTTATAGTAGAGACGGGGTCTCGCTCAGGCTGGTTTTGAACTCCTGACCTTGAGTGATCCGCCCGCCTCGGCCTCCCAGAGAGCTAGGATTACAGGCGTGAGCCACCGCGCCCGGCCTGCAGCTTCTTTTTAAAAGTATTATAGGGGGATACAAAGAAAAATAAAAAGGATTCTTCCCTGCCCCGCCTCCAACCATTTCATGCCACAAGCATGAAAACAGAACTGATTTCCTGTTACTTGAAGCAAAGATGTATATTTTATAAATCTTTAGCATTATTTTATTTCTTCCCTCTTCCTTCTCATCTTTCAGGATGAGAAATTCCCATAGGTATTCTGAAACATAGGAAAAGTAACTATGTCCTTGTGTGTCTTCTCACTCATCTCCACCCTCTGTTTGTTTGTTTATTTACTTATTTATTTTTGAGACAGGGTCTCACTCTGTCAGCCAGGATGGAGTATAGTGGGCAAATTATAGCTCGCTGCAGCCTCAAACTCCTGGGCTCAAGTCATCCTCCTGCCTCTGCCTCCCAAGTAGCTGGGACTATGGGCATGTACTATCATGCCAGGCTAATTTTTCTATTTTCTGTAGAGATGGAGTCTCCCTCTTGCTCAGGCTGGTCTTGAACTCCTGACTTCAAGCAATCCTCCTGCCTTGGGCCTCACAGTCATCCTCCTTTTATATCTTTCTTCTCTGTTAGCCTTCTTGAAAGAGCATTGAACCACTCCTTGACTTCCATATCCTGAACTCCTTACTTGCCCCCTTCTCCCCACAATGTATATTAGGTCAGCAATGCTTCCCTAGTTGCCAAATCCAGTTACCTTTCAACCTTGTTCTTTGACTTTTCTACTGAATTTGACGGTTTTGGTCATCCCTTGCTTGAAACTTTCCTCTTCTGTCTTTAGTGACTTTGCATTCCCTGGTCCCGTATTTTCTCATCCCCGCTTCATCCTAAAGGTTTTTTTTTTTCTTTAG